GAAGAGCCAACTGTTGCTTGTATTCTACTTCTTCGTTCGCAGCTCTTAATAGCCACCAAGAAGTAGTTTGGAACAGGGATCTGAAATTGACCCTGTTTTCTTGATTGTTAGATTTGATAATCATGGGTTCACTGCTATGCTAATGACTATCTTGATGATATCAGGTAAACCTGTGCTATTGTTCTGCGTCAGACATGGCGTTATGTGTGATGATGGGGAACTTAACATCCCTGCAAGACGCAGATCTTGCGCACCTCAGCAATGTCACAGTGGAAGGATTCGAGCTTGCTCTTAGAGCCTGCTGTGTCCGGATCAAAAAGGTCAAGTTACTTGCTCCTCTCAGATTCTTGCTTTCCCCAGATATACTTGAAACCCTGCAGATCAGGGGTTGCAAGATTAGATGGGATTAAGATGTGTGCTCCAAAGTGCATTTGAGAATTTTAAAACATGGCCAAAGCCTGTTTCGCACATACATTACCTCCTCGGATAAGTTTATAGTGAAAAACAGCCCAGACTGTCTATCTCATGTTTTATATAATTATGTTCAAAGAGCAGTGGTTGTTTTTTCTATCATATGTCAGTGTTTTATCATATGCTTTTATGGCTTCTGATGGTTACAGCATTTTTTGTACAATCTGCTTAATTCTGCCTATATATGCAACTGAGCATGACATATCCTCGAATTTAGTCATGTAAGTTAAAGCATGAGGGACACTATACGCCAAGGATGTACCAATATGGTTATTAGGTGGCCTGGTTAAAGAATCAGGAGCTACCTTACCCAATCTTCCCCTAGTTTTAGCAAGGAAAGGCATCTTTTTTTTTTTTTTTCGGCCAACTTTGTTTCTTGTGAAAATTCACATTGAAAGAGAATTTTGCCAATAAGGGAAGCAAGTTTTGATCCTTATATTCTCTTCTTAGTGAAATGGGGGTGAGGCTTTTACGCACTCTGCGTATTATGAGATGAGAGAGCCTGATCCGACAACTTTTTCAGCCTTGATTACTTTTCATCTATGTAGAATTTAACCCAATAAAACTAATATTGATGTTAGTTTACAGAATCAAGAACTCCCAAACAAGAATTTTGATGTTAGAATTTAACCCAATAAAGCTTTAGGCAATAAACAAAAGGGAATCAACAGAAAATGTTAAAGAAATCAAGAATTCCCAAACAAGGAATTCTAAATCCATGAACCCAAAAGAAAGCATAACTTTGTCTTGGGAAAAAGCATAAAAATAAAGTGTTTGGATAGCTCAAAAGGTAATACATTTCTTTCTGAACAAACGAACCCTATGTTCCCTTGCATATAAAATTTCTCTTTTAATTTCACATAGAAATTAAATAAACATCTTGCCTTTGTTCTTCTCATCGATATGGCCCCAAACATGGCCTTAACCAGTCCTCTTTTCCTTCTCTTCCTTCTACCATCACTTCAAGCTTTCTCCAACGAAACCTCTTTATCCATCGGAGATTTAACCATTGAAAAAATGATTCTACAAGCTTGTAGCAACATTGAAAACCAAGCTTCGTGCATCTCAAACATACACAACGAACTAGAATCAACTTCCGATCTAAACCCCACTTCAATTCTCACTGCAACAATAAAAGCAACACTTAAAGAAGCAAAAGATGCCATTCAAATGATCACAAAGTTCAATACTTTGTCTGTCAGCTACCGTGAGCAGCTCGCTATTGAAGATTGCAAGGAACTCCTAGATTTCTCAGTGTCTGAATTGGCCTGGTCTTTAACAGAGATGAAGAAGATTAGAGCTGGTGATAAGAATGTTCATTATGAAGGGAATTTGAAAACTTGGTTAAGCGCTGCATTGAGCAATCAAGACACTTGCCTCGAAGGATTTGAAGGTACAGATAGACATTTAGAGAATTTTATTAAGGGAAGTCTTGAACAAGTCAATCAACTCATTGCTAATGTCTTGGCTCTCTACACTCAACTTCATAGCTTACCTTTTAAGCCTCCTAGAAATATTACTTCTAATCATCCGTTTACAAACCTTGAGAATAGCTCAGAATCAGAAGACATGGACCTTCCGAATTGGATCACTGATGGTGATCAAGAGCTTCTCAATGCCAGTCCTCTTCGCATGCACGTAGATGCAATTGTGGCGTTAGATGGAACGGGCAATTATCAAACAATCACAGAAGCAATTAGCGAAGCTCCAAGCTACAGTAACAGAAGGTATATTATATATGTGAAGAAGGGTGTTTATAGAGAAAACATAGATATGAAGAGAAAGAAAACTAATATTATGCTTGTTGGAGATGGAATTGGAGAGACTGTGGTGACTGGAAATCGAAATTTCATGCAAGGATGGACAACTTTTCGAACTGCAACTGTTGGTAAGTCCTTCGTATCATGCTTCTCTAATTAACTTATAGATTGAGATTATAACTCTGTTTTTAAAAATTTAAGCATGAACAGATATAATTTGAATAAAACTAAACTAATAAAACTGTAATCACACTTCAATTAAATCTAATTCAATGCTTGATTAAGCTCAACTTCGTCCCAAATTAACCAACAATACCTTTTACATACTGTTCCACTTTGCAGCCGTGTCTGGAAAGGGATTCATAGCAAGAGACATGACATTTCGCAATACAGCAAAACCTGAAAACCATCAAGCAGTGGCACTCCGAGTCGATTCAGATCAATCAGCATTCTTCAGATGCAGCATGGAAAGCCATCAGGACACCCTCTATGCTCACTCCCTCCGTCAATTCTACCGGGAATGCGACATTTATGGCACAATCGACTTCATTTTCGGCAATGGAGCTGCTTTCGTCCAAAATTGCAAGATCTTCACTCGCGTCCCACTTCCATTACAAAAGGTCACCATCACTGCTCAAGGACGCAAAAACCCGCACCAGAGCACCGGATTTGTCATTCAAGATAGTTATATTCTAGCTTCGCAACCAACTTACCTAGGTCGGCCATGGAAGCAATTCTCTAGAACAGTGTTTATCAACACTTACATGAATGCTCTGGTACAACCTAGAGGTTGGCTTGAGTGGTATGGAGATTTCGCCCTAGGCACATTGTGGTATGGCGAGTACAAGAATTATGGACCAGGAGCTTCACTCTCGAATCGGATCAAATGGCCGGGATATCATATCATCAATGATGTTTCTACAGCTACGTTTTTTACAGTTGATCGATTCATTGATGGTCGATCATGGTTACCAGCAACTGGTATCAAATTTACAGCAGGATTAAGCAATTAGGCGGTAATATATATATATATATATTTATACATATATATAATGTATTTTTTTTTTACAATATTTACTAGATTTATTTTTAATCGGAAATTATACAAATAATTAAGTTTTAAGTGCTTAATTGTTTATGATTAATGTAAATTAATTATGGTGTAGGAATTTAACCCGAGTGGAAAACCCGATCCAAACCCGACCCATTTGGCCCATGGGCCATGCTGGCCCATCCAATTGAAGACAGCAAAATTTTTCCAAACCCTATTAATTTATAAAATAATTTCAGAATTTAAATTTTATAGAATAAAATTGCGAATATCTTAAAAAAAAAAAAAAAAAATCCATCGTTAAATTAATTATACAACTCTCTTATAACTCGAGTTCAAGTTCTACTCATCTCAATCTCGAGAAAAAGAATTAATTACAAAACTCTCTTTCGTTATATATGTATTTTTGTTTATTACGAGTAATACTAATATATAATAATTTAGTCAATACTAATTAATAATTACTTTATATAGCTTGTATGTTAATTGAATTGGAATTTTACTATAGTAAATAAATATAAATCAATTAATATTTGTTGACGAACGAAGAATAATATTTATTTTCGAAATTATTAGTTGTTAATTTTTAAAATTTGTCACTCGGGTTCTAATTAATAATTAATTATTAATTAAAGAGAACAAATCAAGTGATAATCGTCGTATAATTTTCTCTAACGGAATTAAAGTTCAAAGATTATGTTGATTATTTTAGAATATCTTCATCAATCAAACGTACGTGGGATTAGTAAAATGGTGTGTGTTAATGTAATTAATTCTGATATATATGTATGTATTAATATGTAATCATCTCTGATCAGAGAAATTAACAATGGAGATTGATCCAAATAATGAGATACATATATATATATACGTCAGTTATGTAAATCAATCAAACTCAAAACGTAATTAAAAAAAAAAAAAATCGAATGGAACGAATCATTTTAAAGTTCAAAAGAATGAAATTGCTATGGTATAACAATGAAAATGTAGGACATACAGCAGACCTAAACATGAAATTACAGACTGTGTATAATGAAGATCAGATAGAACACTTGAACAACAATCTAAATTACAGAACAACATGGTAGTCTAAAGCTTGAGAGACAAATCGAGCCCCGAGTTATCATTCTCGTCGTCATCTTTTCTCGTCTTCTTCTCTGGCAGAGGCTGGAGAAAGTTGAGAGTAACAGTAGGTCGTTCTTTGGGGGTAGGAGTCGAAATAGAGAGACCATCTCCGATCTTTTTCTCAGACGAGGTCGGATAGGGTTCCTTTCGAGTAGGCTGATTGTTTGGAGTAGGAAACTGGGAAGTAGTACTGGTAATAGAGACACCACCGTGGCCCACGCAGTAAGAGAAACCAGAAGGAGTCCATGGATAGGAAGGTTTTTGGATGGAGGAGTTCAGGCCAATAGGGCTAACATATGAAGGTCTATTGTAAGAGCTATAGAAAGGCATCTGGGAGTTTGGAAAAGGACTGTAGAAGGGGAAGGGGGAGTGTCCGAAACCGGTTTCCTTCCGTCGTTTTGCGAGGGCTCTCTCCTGTTTGTGTGCGTTTTGGTGCCCTCCTAGGGCTTGGGAGGTTGAAAAATCTTTCTTGCAGTAGCTGCAGGAGAAAACCCTAGATTTCTGCTTAGCTGCTGATCTAGGGTTTGTCTGAACAAGAGAAGTAGGAGCACTGAAAGGGTTAATCAAAGCTTGGTTATAAGCGTTAATGGTGGAAAGCTTGAGTTCTATCTCAGATCCACCACTTGACCCACCAAGAGACAACATCTTTTCCTTGCTGAAAAGATTGAAATCCGAACTGGGTTTGACCTTACTTGGCCGATCATCATCACGATCGTTATCCCTAGATAGATCAATGAAAACAACTTCTTTTTCTTTCAAGGAGGCGGGTTTCACCACCGTGGCGGCACCAGCTCCGACTTTTTCCCGCCCGGAATTCTCCTGACAGGCAGCGGAGATGCTGGAGGACTCAGAGATTGACTGTTTGCCGGATGAAGCTTCCATTGCTACTCAGAGGAGGGAGATAGTAAATTATACTATGTTTTATTTTCTGATTTTTTTTTTTTTTTTGAGTTTGAAGAGACTGAAAGGTGATGTTCTATTTATTGATCACCATTGTTGTTGGTCCATTAATCTTTTTAACTTTGGTAAGAAATCTCAATGCCATAAAGTTAAATGACTTTGCTTACTTACCTTATATTTTGTATGTATATATTGACTAATAAAACTAAGCTTAGTTTGCTATTCAAGTTTTTATAATTTTTACTAAAATACTTGTCAAATATTTCCGTTTCGCGTATTAATTGCCATAAAAATTTCGAAAATTCCAAAATCAGACTTGCTTTACCTAAACACAATATGGGTTTAATTTGATTTTTAAACCTTCTCAATTATGGAATCCAATTAATAAGGTTTTCATATTTGGGGAATGTGAATTTATTTAGTTGACAGCCTGTGAGTAAAATTAGCATCTATACACACACACATACATATATCTACCGATGTATGTATTGACCATATTGAAACTTATGAAATGAAAGGAAGAAAAAAAAAAAAGAGAGATTAATCTTTTGAAATTTAAAATCCATTCATGGTATCTTTAGTTAATGATGAACTTAAATTCATTGATTTAATGGTATCTAGCACAATATTGTTAGAGAATTAAATATTAATGGAACATAAAATAACATATATTATATAGCTATATATTGTATGCACTTAATATTAAATGGGAAATTTGGGAAAGTCCTATAATGAGATTTACTCATACTTTGACCATACTATATAATATATATAAACATCTCTATAAAAATTATCAAAATAATTAATTCCTTGCTCTTCTATATATGTATATATAATAAAATTTCTAGGAACCAATGACTTGTCGATATGATCCTCATTCAATTTCGTATATGGTAATGTTTAATAATTTTTGTTTTCTTCCTTTGTATTAACACATAACTTAATCCTTCTTTTTCGAGAGATACTAACTTCTTTTCGCTCGACAAACATCGACCTGAATATAAATGCATGCATACGTACACGTTAATTTTGATTAATTCACGACGTTAATAAGGTTCCATCGAAACTCGTTATTCATTAACTAATCCGATCAATTAAAATACTAACTATGAATATATAATTTTAAGGTAAATGATCCGCTAATCTCTGTTATCTCGATGACTTGCTAAATCAACCCCATAATTCTCTTTTAAAAAAGTACCATTTCATGGCCTAAATTGAATTTATTGTAGCTAAACACAAGGAGATCACTTAAGAACTCTCATTAATCTCAAGATAACTCATCTTATATAATATAATATTATATATGTAACTAAGTATCTTAGATTAAAGCATGTTAAACATACTTTTACAACAAGGTTGAAATCTCAAAATCTAATTGACTAATTAATAATCTTTCTCATCTCTAGCTATGATGATATCAAACATTCCAGTTTTATAAAAACTTGTGAACCCACGATAATCTCGTTTTAGGGAACCACTTAATTATATTAATCGTCAATTTATCAACGATTGTTTAACTCGATGATTCGTATATCTAATTTATTCATAGAAAAATATGAATTTAAGTCGGCACTCTCTTTTATTATCATTTAAAAATTTTCTTCTATTATGTTATGGTCGATGTTCCTATACCTATTAACGAATGTACGCACGAGTTTCTATTCAAAAATTTTTTGGACAATTACTTAACTTAAATTGTTAATATATCTATTCCTCTAAAAGAAGTCGTGGATTCGAATTAGGTTACGTCTTTGTACGTGTTCTCGTTTTAAAATTATTTATACTATATAACACTAATTACTTTTGCAACAGCAGTTTAGAATGACATTAACTTTTATTTATTCATTATCTACGTCACGTCAATTTCTTATTTTACTATATTCAGTACTCTATCGAGACTGATTCGTAGCGATCATTCATCAAAGAATGACTATGATTGTCAAATGATCGAACAACCGGGAATAATTTACAGTCACTTCTTAATTTACGAAACGTAGGGATTCGAATTACGATATTAATAAAATATAAGTATGGATACATATGGGCAATTAGTTTAGTTTAATTGTAATTACAAAATGTGAACAAGAACTGAGATGGCATTTTGGTGAATTAAAAACCTAATTAAGCTGAGGCACGTACACATATTATTAATTAATTAATTAATTAATTAGTTAATTAGTTAATTAGATTAGATTAGATTAGACAGAGAAGCCATTAATTAAGGGCTAATTGCAGTAAATATCAACTAACTATCCCTCTGTGTTTTGGCTTGTCAATTCTCATTGGCCCTCCATTTGGACAATTTTCCCTCCATACCTCCAGTTCTTTTTTAACCAATTTAACTAATTATTTTAAAGCCATTAATTAATATTTTTATACATATAATTATTATAATTATAAATACTTCCTCATTTTTCTGCAACCCCCCCCCACACTCCCTTGAAAGCTTTCAGGCTTTTGAAGGAGGAGTCTCTCTCTCGTCAGATCCTTGGATTTCAGGGAGGAGATTGCAGTTTTTGTATTTTCTTTAAGATTCGTTTATATCTATATATCGGTATAATGCATATGTATAAGTAGATATATAAGTATACACACGTTATACTACGATTAGATTTGATTTCTGGTGTTTTGATCCTTGTCAGTTTTCATATATTATGGCTGATCATGACGAAAAGAAGAAAAGGAGGTATGCCGTGATAGGAATTTCCTCCTTTCTTCTGGTTGCAATGGTGATCGCAGTAACTATCGGCACCAACCTCGAGATCGACGATGCCGACACCGGTAGTGCCAAGAACGAGAGGCTGACAGCCTCCATGAAAGCTATAAAATCGATCTGTGCGCCCACCCAGTATAAAAAAACTTGTGAAGACAACCTCAGAGCCAACGCAGGGAACACGACGGACCCGAAAGAACTCATCAGAGTCGTGTTCAACGTTACCATGAAATACATCAACGAGGCTGCAAAGAGATCGACGACGTTGAACCAGCTCAACCAGGACCCTAGAACCCACGTAGCTCTCCGGCAATGCAAGGAGCTCATGCATTACTCCGTTGGGGAGCTCAAGAAATCTTTTGACCACATGGGTTCGTTGGATGTGACCAAAATCGATGAGATTCTTGTTAATATGAAAATCTGGCTTAGCGCCGCCATAACCAATCAGCAAACGTGCTTGGATGGTTTTCAGGACACGACTGGTGATGCTGGGGAGAAGATGAAACACGGGTTGAAGACTTCGATGATGCTAACCCACGATGTTCTTGCCATTGTTCATGAAATCTCTAAAGCGTTTAATCAGATTAATGGTGCAGATAGAAGCTCCCGCCGGCTGCTTTCCGCCGAGGACTTACCGGTTCTCGGCCATGACGAAATTGATGTCCCGGAATGGGTCAACCCGGCGACAAGAAAACTCCTTTCTGCTCCCCCTTCCACTCTCAAGCCTGATATTGTTGTTGCAAAGGATGGAAGTGGGGATTTCTTGACGATCAATGAAGCCATTGCTGAAGTCCCTAAGCGCAGCAACAAGACGATCATTATGTATATTAAAGAAGGGGTTTACAAAGAAATCGTGGAGGTCAAAAGGTCCATGACCAACTTGATGATCATCGGAGATGGCAGCAAGAAGACAATCATCACCGGCGATTTGAGTTACTCAAAAAATCTCACCACTTACAGAACTGCAACTTTTGGTATATAGCTAAAACGGTAATTGAACATTATACGATTAATTATCTCAAGAAGTTAAAATAAATAATTTGATTTATCATGCAGCTGCATCTGGTGACAACTTCATTGCGAAGAACATTGGATTTGAAAACACAGCCGGAGCCATCAGGCACCAGGCTGTGGCATTGAGAGTTATGGCGGACATGGCGATTTTCTATAACTGCTCCATTGACGCCTACCAAGACACACTTTACGCGCACACCAAGAGACAATTCTACCGCGACACCGTCATCTCCGGCACCATCGACTTCATCTTCGGCAACGCCGTTGCTGCTTTCCAGAACTGTACGTTGCTGGTGCGCAAGCCATTGCCGAACCAGCAGTGTCCAATTACAGCGCAAGGTAGCAACGACCCACATGAGCCAACTGGTTTCGTCTTCCAAGGCTGCACCATTGATGGCGAACCAGAGTACCTGGCTGTCCAGAAAACGAGTCGGTCGTTCCTGGGTCGGCCATGGAAGCCGTTTTCGAAAACAGTAATTATGAACAGTTATATTCCTGACTTCGTCGACGGAACTGGGTGGATGCCATGGAATGCCACCGCCGGTCTCGACACCTGTTTTTATGCGGAGTATGAAAACGAAGGTCCCGGAGCTGCAAAGATTAACCGGGTTAAGTGGCTGGGAATCAAGGAACTGACGGAAGAACAGATCATTCCGTTTACGCCGGGAAATTTCCTTAGAGCTGACGACTGGATTAAAGCATCCGGAGTTCCGTACACCTCCGGCATGCTGGGCAATACGATAATTCGTCAGAGAGGTTCTGCACCATCACCGGCCCCAGATCGAGTTACAAAGTCGCCCTCGCCCTCGCCCTCGCCCTCGCCCTCATCAATGTCGGCGCCGGCGCCGGTGCCTTCCCCTCCGCGACAAAAACCAAGTTTTCTTTTCCCATCAACATGGTTTCTTCACTGAAGTTCAGAGATTGTTCTTTTTTTCTTTTTTAAGATTCAACTCTCTCATTTTTTTTTCCCTTCAAAATTTTCCCTCTTTCTGAAAAAAAAAAAAAAGAAAACAAGAATTTGCCCTTTTGATTCCTTGATTCTTTTGTATGGATCTGCCATGAACACAGTAGCCTAAGATCAATTTGAAAAATCTTCAAGCCAATTATAATATAAACTGTCAAGATGATCATCAGCGATATTATGTCTGTGATTAAATTAATATTACTATTAATATTATTATATTAATTAATCGCTTTTATATACTTAAACCTGGTCGTTTAAATTTTTTCTATATTTATATTCCATCAAAAGTATATTAAAAAAAGTAAGATTTATTTTATAATTATCTAATAGTATAATAATATAATTTAGAAATTATACAGATTAATTACAAATTGATACCTTATGAAATGATTATTTTAATAAAATACTTATATATTTCGAGCAAATTTTATAATTTTTAAAAAAATTTAAGAAAAATAACAATAATAATTACAACATAAAATTTATAAAAGTTGCACGAGCCATTTTTACACTAAGGTATTTATTTGGATTAATTTTTGAATTTTACATAATCATGTTTGAAATGATAATAATTTTAATTAAATTGGATAAAAATTTAATATTATTTTTAAGACATATTAAATTTTTTTTATATATTTTATTAATTAATTTAAATACATACTATTTATAATAAAGTCTTATAAAAAATATATATATATATATATATAGAAATGTATAATACAACTCATACTCATAATATTTATAAATAAAAGAAATTATTAAATATATAGTCAATTAGTGATTATTTAGTGGCTAAATTTAAAATAATACATTGTTTATTTAGTTTAAAAACGGTGTCGTTTCATGCTTTATGACCATAAAAACGACATTATTTCTGGTTTGTCTTTCACGATGAATCTCTTAAAACGACATTCATTTAGTTTCGTTTGATCTATCCTTCGTATATATAAATAGATTCTCCAAATCTCTTCGTAATTTTGGCCAAACCCTCCCTCCGTCTCTCTGAAACAATGGCGGTCTCGTCGGCCTCTTCGACTTCCTACTCCGATGCATCCTCTGACTCCTCGTTGGCTCGCCGTCGCTGCAGCCAACGTAACCGTCGAGAGAAAGACAGAGACCGGGAATCTCTCAAGATCCGTAAGAAGAGCCGCTCGCATACTAAGCGTCGCCGCAGGCGGTACCGCTCATCAGATTCTTACTCTTCCTCCTCCTACTCTGATTCCTCCAGGTACTCCCCGGAGAACATGACCCTATAGGTTTTGGTTTTATTATTCTAGGGATGATTTGTATTGAGGTTCCCTATTTCTTATGGCGATTATTTAGGTTTTGCGCGTCTTTTCAGTTTGTGTCTATGCTTTTCTGATTGGTTTCCGGTAAATTTTAGGAGAAAGATAACTTTTCGTGTATTCTGAGAATTTTGGTCCATGAATAAAAAACCTAAGGCCAATAATTTAGGTTTTCGGAAACATTACTTTTTCGTTGATTTGCCTGGTTGGTAAGAAATTATGGGGAAAGTGATAGGGGATTAGTTTCCTATTGAAATCTTTCTGCAATAGCTTTTTTGCTTATGGCTAGTTCATTAGTAAGCTGAATATTGCACGCTGTTGCAGTGTATTAAAACGCTCTAGGCTGATTAATTTGCTAATGTTTTGTTCTCATTATTGATTGGTTGTAGAAGTGAGAGTTCAGACAGTGAGCATGAGGCATCGAAGAGACGCAAAAGGAATGATGGACCAAAGAAGGTAATTGCGTGGTGCACTGTTTTGATACCTCAGTCCCGTTCTGCTTACATTTTAGGTCTCACTTGCTTGTCTTGTTACCTTGATAGTCCAAAGAGAGGAGCAAGACACATCGTCATAAACGCCATAAGCACGGAGTTAAAGAGGTAGACCACTATTCTCTCCACAGTTTGTCACTACTTGTGCATGTTCTTTGTGTCATACCATCCCTGTTACCAAGCCAAACTGGAATTTGAAACTTGAACTGTAAGCAAGACAGAATTGATTTCTCTTTCTGTAAAAAATTTAGAAATCAGGGCTAAAGCACATACAAAAAGAGGGGTGCATGAGAAAGATGTAATATATATATAATACTAATTACTTTCCAAGATCTACTGGCTGTGCTTGATTGAAAGAGTGTGGTACGAATGACTTTCTTTAATTAGCCCTATTTTAATAAGAAAAGAAAATACATAGTAACTTTTCACTTTAAATCAATCAACTTCCTTGAATGCAATCCTTCCCCCATTTTTAACACGAATGAAAGAAAGAAAAAGGGGAAGTGCCATGGGTCTTAGTTGTAGGAAATTCTTTGCGTTTGAGCTATTGTGAATTTGTCGCTCAATCGTGAGTCGTGGCATATTTGCTTCTCAGTAACTAAAAACTGTTAAATAGTTGGGGTTTCTTTTGTTCAATAGTCGTGTCCGTTGAAGATTATGACTGTGAGGGCTATAGAGGTTGTCTTGGCTGTTGCATTGGTATTACATGTTTTGCGGATTTGGTTATCTTGTTATTGTTTGTTACTTTTATGAATTCAGTTATTATCAAATGCTGTGTTTGAGGCGCTTATAATACTTTTTGCCTGCTCTATGGGCTCTTCGAACTTGGAGCTGGGGTTGGTGACATGATGGTTGGCCACGATTGTGTTGCTGGGTTGGATTTGTCCTGGCAATGGGAGCCTTATATAGAAGCAGCGAGATGAGGGAACTAGTAGTCCTGTACAACTCTCGAAGGTACATTACCAAATTCTAGTGATTTAGACCTTTTAGTGACTATGTTTTTTCCTTAACTCCTTCGCTGACGGAGTGACTGTTGTGTTCTGCTTCTGCAGTTTCTAGGCCGCAACAAAGATGATGGTGTCCGCCGCAGTGCTGTCTCTGGCAAGAAGGTAAAGCAACTCATTTCTTCATGTCATTGTTATTTTCTCGAAAGATCCTTAAACGAGACATGTTCTAAAGTTACTTGTCTTTCATGGTTTCCCGTAGATTCTGTTGAAACTTGACAAATCGAAGGAAGATAAAGTAGCAGAAAACAAAAGAAGTGAATTGCTGAAATTCTTGAATGCCAGTTTTGATTGATTGGATATACTGCATGTTAGCAGTCAGCTTAGGTCCACTCGTCTCTTCCAAGTACACGGGTTACCGAGCACGGTGGAAATTTGATGATTCGGCGTTTCTGTTCCGAACGCAGAAAATGTAGAATTTCAGTTTTTTTTTTTCTAATTTGGAAATGGTGCGTTTAGATCAAACTGGGTTGCTGCTGATTGGAGAGCGGAGATTTATTTTGTGTTTACCATGTTGTGTCATTTGAGGGTGGCACTCGTTGCCAGGGCGTTTAGGTGACAAAGCATACCCTGCTGCGCTGCCCAAGACTCAGCTTATGATATAACGGGCTATATATATATATATATATATATATATATATCAGCTGGGATCAATGTATTCAGGCAAGAACTTGGTATCTCTAGAATTAAGTGTTATTATGTGGAAAAAAACCTGACTTTTACTTTTGGCTTATTATTTTGTGCTTTAAACATATATATATATATATATATATATAAATAGTTAAACAAGTGAGAATGATTTGTTACTCGTGTTTATGTGCGTACTGATGAAATTACTGTATGCATTACATAATATTATGTGTATATATATATTAGATTAATATTTAAAAATGAATTTTTATCTTATTTTAGTATTTACAACTACTTTTTAATAAGTAAATAATCAACTTCTGCTTTTTAAAATAACTTTCAGCTGTATTACCTTTGCAATTTTATTGAAGTTAAAACTCAGTTCCTTGAAGGCCTCGGCCCAAAACAATAAACGAAGATTTGAAGGGCACTGTCGTCATTTAAGGATGGAAATCTCCAGGCTATATAACGGGAAGGAAATTAGGGTTCCGGAATATTTACTTTGTGGGTAGATGTTCCGTCTTCTCGATTTGCCCCTTCTCCTCTCTGTTTGCTCAGCAGAAGAATCGCGGGGCTCGTAACTTTTGTAGAGTGGGTTTTGTGTATGGATTTTATATATATATATATATATGTGTTTCTGCATATAAAGAAGATCGCACATAGTTCTTCTTGGAAGCTTAGTACTTTCCCGAAAGGAAAATGGTTTCCAGGATTTTATCTGTGCGTACATCAAATCTCTCTTTATCCTTTCTGCTTGAGCCTTCTCCTTCTACTCACTGGAGATGCGCTCCAATGTTATTGGATTACATTTTTCTATATGCACATACACACACACACACACACACATTTATATGTAGATATTTATACCCACACCCCTATCTATCTATATATATATATATATACTGGAAGCTTTGAAGCAATTCCGAAAAAAGGATGTGTAAATTAGCTAATTGTTGGGGGTTAATTTTTGAGTTTTAAGTGTAAATTATTATTAGTTAATTAAGAAAATGTTATTTAAAGAAGAACATAAACAAGAACACCCATTTATCAGAAAAAGAAAAAGAAAATTCAAAGTACCCAAAACGATGAAGTCTTATGTTAATGTATTTTATTATTTTGAATTTACACTAAATAAATTCAATTAAATCGAGCAAATATGTAAAATACATGTTTTCTCTTTTAAAAGAAAACCCAGGAAATCATGTAAATCGCAACTAAATTAAATTACTTTGCCATTTTAATTTTACTTTCCACCATTAGCTAAAAGATTGGAGAACGTGAGCGTAATACTACAAAGTTGGCCGAATAACTTGCTCAGCCCTTCCACGGGCGAATCCTGTCCTTCGAAAGCTTCCTCGCACGTGTCCGCATCGCTCATGGCGGCTGTCACCCACGTATTGACATCGGCGTAGCCTTCGGAATCCAACGCGGCAAGCGAGTCTTCGATCTGTTCAATGGCGTCCCCGTACTGCTCGGAGCACTCCTTCAAGCTCTGCTCCACGTTTCTGTCTTTAGTCGAGGCGAGAAGCTGGTCAATGCGGCTGTGAATGCGCGTGGCGTTGGAAGAAGCCAGCTTCAAAGCGATCTTGGTCAGGCCGACGAGGTCGGCGCCCTTGCTCTCATGCGAGGAACGTAAGGTGAGCTTGCAGAGGTCTTTGTAGAGGGTTTTTTCACAGCTTTGGTCGATGAGTTTTGAGTTTGCTGCATTTTGATGGGGGAAGAAGCTTAGGAGGATGAGGAGAAAAGTGGCGAAGAAAAATGGAGATGAGTAATTCATGTTTGGAGGAGAGGAAAGGAAAGGAAAGTAATTGGTGGGTTGGTTTTTTGATTTGGGTTTGAAGAGAGAATGGTGATTAGTTGGGTTTTTAAAGGAGATTTTGTGGAGATATGAGAATTAAACGGTTGAACGAAGAAATTTTTGGAAGTAGTTCAATTGGGTTTTGACAAGTTCATGCATTCTATTTTGAGTTATTCATTTGCCTAAATTTAAGTTTTGTTTTGTATTTATTTATTTCTAGGTATATGACTAATGACCAAAGTTAAATGTTAGCATAATCTACAATTAGAGGTTCCGTTTGGCCTTCTTGTTAAGAACTACCATAAGCTAAAGTTATTTAAGCCAACTAAAAATTTGAGTTATTACCCAAATCGTGAATGCAAATTTTGAGTTATTTACCATTTGAAGTTGTCAAATGTCATAGTTGTCTTAATTTTGGTTGTATAAGTTTTATGAAGGGAATTCAAAAGAAAAGTTGATCCAAAAAAGCCTAAATGGGAAGGGGTATTTTCTCTTTTAGATCATGAATGAACCAATTCTGTTTCAAGAACACTAAAATGAACCCGAAAAAACTGACTACCTAATGGTTGAAATGTCCATAACAAACGTGATTTTTTCCTTGGAATTAATGTTAACTTGCCAACCGAAAGCAGCTTCAAAGATAGTCTAATCGGAAAAGAAACAACAAAACCAAAGACATTATACTTGCTACGCGATCAGATCTTAGCACGAAAACCCTCAAATCAAGTCATTTTGTATTTCAATCACTATGGAAAATAAACCTGAGATACGATAACTTCTTAAACGATACTTAAAACAGCAAGGTAATTGACAAATTGGGTTCAAACAGGCATTTAACTGATTCGTCTTTGTAACAGTAAACCGAATAAAAGACTGCAAGGGATCCCTAAGGATGTCTAACAAAATTTTAATTGCAAAAGTAGTAAACAAGTACTTCAACCTCATGGACAATAGCTAAAATTATCATCTTAAACCCTGAATCCCCTGCTGTTCCTCCTTCCTCTAGCCCTCTCAAACTTCCTGCCCTTGGATCGAACGTATGGCTTGGTGTGGCTGTGTGGAACACCAGGAGCAGGCCCGAAATGTTTGACTGCTTCACGAGCATTCTTTGGGCCTCTGAGAAGAACCTGCAAACCAAACAAATAGATATTCATTACATATTAGTGGTTTGGTATTCAGAATGGGACCTGAACGAAGCTCTAGTTTCATACAAAAGACCAAAACTGATGGGCATTCATTTAGCATATTTTCTTTCGGTTTTCAAAAGGGACTGATTCAGGCTCCATTTTCATAGGTGAGAACAGTGAAGATCGAAACATGGAACTGGCGAATGAACAAATGCGATGACAGAAACAGTATAAGTATCAAAAAAAGAGCAGAAATTATCAACTACAACAACAATAATTTTTATGGATGGCTAGGAACCTAAAAAATACAATCTCCTACATGAGAAACAAAATAAAAGATATTAACAGGATCTGCGCATACATTTAAGATAAACAAAATTCTAGATCAAATCTCTTTGCAATTAAATACCAAGATAACCAGAGGAAAATGAAATAATAGAAATGTTGGACACTGATTAAATCTGAAGTACAAAACCAAACAGATATAATCAAGAACCATTACAAAATTTTGAAGCGGGTTCCAAGCGCGCAATTAATCTACTTACACTAGCCAGGATACCGAGCAAAAGCAAGACCCCAAAAATATTACAAGGATTAAAGGATAGAAAATTTATATCTTGAGTTTTAACCAAGAATAATATCTACAGAACCCATAAAATGTCAAAAGTTGACAAGGTTAAACTACGGAACTGATGTTAAGTTATTCCAAAGTTATCTACCCACCTATATCGTGAGACTTGTCTTCGTGACATACAGTAAACTATCTTGGATCCTCACTTTTGGATTAACACCTAAATTACCGTACTTTTACAGAAATGCATCTCAACTTCAACAAACCCAGAAAACATCAACAACCTTACATATTCAGATTGAATATAGTAGCAACGACAGTTCACTATGATCTTCGAGAAAAGCATTAATGAAGAAACGAATTACGAGACAATACCGTGTTCTGGCCCAAAGGAGCCCTGAGAGCAAGCTGGTCGAAAGTCAAGCACTCTCCACCAGCCTTCTCGATTCTAGCTCTTGCAGTCTCCGTGAACCTCAATGCTGTCACCTTCAAAGCCGGAACCTCGTAGACTCTCAGATCATCGGTCACTGTTCCCACGATGACTGCAATCTTATCCTCCTATTTTCGCACCAAAAAAATTAAATACAGAACATAAGAATCAATCATACGATCTAAATTGAAACAAGTTAAGATTCAAAAAATGTATGAATAGATATGACAGATAATATATAGATGTCAACCTTTCCCTGCATGAATTTGACGAGCCTGGAAAGAGAAATAGGGGCCTTGTTGACCTTGCTCATGAAGAGGCGCTTCAGTATCACTGCATTGAAGTTGCTTCCCGTTCTCCTCACAAGGAATCGGTAAAGCTGCAATATTCAATTGTTTAACATGAAGATCATATGAAATACAGTTGATCCAGTCTATGCAAAGAAACATAGCAGACATGTGCGTGTTCGAATGTATTTATATATGCTCGCAGTAAAAGCCTCCTAAATTCTAACCTTGACGAGAAGCTTTAGGTATATATCATCGGACTTGGCCGCAGTCCTTTTGGACTGCTTGCTCTTACCCCCTGCGATCAGATCAATCCCCTGAAAATTCCAAATGGAAATTGCACAAACAGATAAATTTTTCGAGAACAAACACCCAGATATAGCTAATTCTAGAAGAGAGCCAACGAATACTGAAACAAATGAAGATAGAGAGGGGCACCATTGGTGTCTTCGGGTGGTGAAGCTATCTGGTGAGGCGCCGCGACTCTGGAGAAAGAATTTTTCCAAGGGAACGAAATGGAGTTAGGGTTTTGGTAGCTTTATAGTATAGTGAAGGCTATAGATGACATTAAGGTTGTCTAGGGTTTTCGTACAACGTACATGGGCTGGGCCCAATTTACCAGCTGGTTATGATACAACGTACATGGGTTGGGCCTTTGGTGGGCCTTTAGTGGGCCTCTAGTGGGCCTTCAACCCAATTTAACAGCTGGTTATGATCTTATTTTGATTTCTCTCGTTCCTTTCTATTTTATCTGTTTTCTTTTTAAAAATAAATAAATAAAAATTAAATAACATATTTAAATTTGATATTTTACCTCTTTAATTGAAATAATTAAAAATGTGTATATATATATATATATATATATATACATATACCATTTTGCATTGACCAAAATAATACATGACCAATTCCAATATGGCTTGCTTTCCAGTTCTAATCAAACAATAGTGTTTAGAAATTCAAAAAAGCATAATCCGATACAGAAAGAACACCCAGAAACAAGTTTATACATAAGACAATACCTCAACATTCTCTCTGGTATAATTTTTGCAGAGATTGGTTAAAATAAAATCCACCAAGTTACATATGATATTCATGGCAATTCGATAAATATTTCGAGCAAATTTGGTCCTCCATTGTTAACAGTGACAGAGACAAAGTAAAACATGAGGGGATATTTTCATACAGCTCCGCGGCGTGGATAAAATATGCTTGGAAAAGGAAAAGTTCAGAGCAAAATCGAAGCAAGCAGCGTATGTTCTCTCGTGATGTACACCGGTGATGGTGATAGCTACTAATCGTGGACCCTTCAATCTAGATGCTCCATCTGAAATACACAAGAGAGAATCAAGAGATGTCCAAATCCGTTTCTCCTCATTTTTCTTGCCATCTCATTATTGTATACTCTGATACTAGCCATCCTGTTTGCCTCAACTAGGTCTGTTCAAGTCTTTCACTATGCTTGGAATTAAAAAATTGAAATGCATTTTGTAATTCTATATTTTTATACATTGAATTATTATCACAAAGGAAAAAATTAATGAGGAAATGAAGACTTCCACGTAAAATTAAGCAGTGCATTTCAAATTCTATTAACCTCAGGAAGATTCAGAAACAGAACTTTCATGAGATTTTTATACTCTTGCTTGGTGTTTTCCAAATGCAACAATTCAATTGAATTCCATAAAATAGTTTAAGATATCTTGTTTTATTTGAATCATCAAAGTGTTAAACAGAAATAGATTACGCAATTCAAAAATCTTATAGTTCTGTATCATATATGCTGTGCTAGATATTTTAATACGGGCAACAATTAGGCAGGCTAGAGTCTTGACACAAAAACATGTCCAGTGTTAGCTCTCTAAGCCAATTTCTATGATTTGAATTATGAAAATTCAAGAAAACCATATTCTATAAAGGCAGAAACAAAGCAATGGGGATTTCTGTATATCATACCTTCCAGAGACCATCATTGAGGTAATGCATGTTGTCCACTCCGATTCCCTTGTTAATTGACTTTCTGCAGAGTGCAGATCAAGCATTTTGCACAGATAGTTAGATTACTAATAGGAAAGTTGCAAATTTTCTATGACACACAGCTACATTAACCTGTGTACTGCACAAGCTAATACTAAAAAAAGCATATGTTGCAAAATCAGACTAGAGAAGAATTCTGACAGTAGGAACAACCAAGGAGAACTATATAATGAGTAAAACTAAAATTGACAATGAAATGTCAGTAAAGTAAGCAGTTTCATCAATACTGTGGTAGAGAAAATTCTAGAACAGAGCAAGCACGGCTACACTTATGTGGATCACCATTTTTTTAATGGGAGGTGTACGTTGTGGTAACATCCTTCAATTTTGGTAAACATTAGTAAAGGAATAGAGAGTACGAAAAAAAAGAAAAGAAAATGAAGGAGTGTTTTTTGAAAGAAAAGGAAGGAAAATTGTCCAAAAATTAAAAAAGGAAAGGATTTTTATAATGTTTTGTTTATTATAAAAGGAAAAAAAAAAGGAACTGACTAAGAAAATAGTCAACAATACCCTTTTTATTAATAGAACATTAAGTCGATTAGTAAGTGCAAAACATAATATTTCTCTTTAAAATTTTAAACTCTTTTGCAATGAGGATGAATGGAAAAACTAGAGTTTTAAGGAAAATGGAGAAATGTTCATCATCCCTCCCTTTCTTTTGCTGATTATTATTTTTCATCCAAACAAATTAAAGGAGTGTGGATATCTCACTCTTTCTTTTCCTTTACCTCATCCAAACGTAATATAAGTTTGAAAGAACTGAAAATGTTTAAGGTGAAAATAACTTACATGTCTTTGGCTGACATTTTTGTAAAGCCAATAGCAAGCGCATGTTGCTTTCCTTCAGCCATTATGGCCTACAAATATCCAGTTTCAATATCCTAGTTAAAAAGGAGAAATAAAAGAACCGGACAAATTATTATAGTTCCAATAGATAACAAATCACAAAGAAAATGATGCAAATAATCTCAGAGTAGCAATTAAACACAGTCCATACCACAGGAGTTTCGGCCCCCACTTCATCATCCAAAGCACCACCAGGTGATGTAAGACCAGGGCACATTATATTTGCACCCGAAAGAACAAATTTTATTGCCCCTCTGTCTACTTGCAACTTTTTCATAATATTTGGATCTGACAAGTTAAGATGTATAACAATGAAAACGTTGAAATTCCACTAGATTGACATTCAATTGCTGAAAGTATTTCAAGCAAATATGACTGACAATAAAATTTCAGTAATTGTTAAATAAGTAGAAAAATAAATAAATAAAACTATACATTGATGAAGAAGTCGTAGGGTAGGCATATAAGGCCCATCACGGATGTTGAAAAATAGAGGAACATTGTTCACCACCACCAGATTAAGATGGTTTTGACTGCAGGGAGAGACCGAATGGAAGAACAGGTGAGAAATAATGTAATTTGAGAAAGAACCAGAAATAACAGATCTACAGACCATTTAGTAACAATTAGTGGAACCTTCTTTGGTAGCAAATCATCCAACACCGGTTCAAGTCCTGGATACTGCACTAAAGTTAAAAATGCATTAAATACAAACATAAAGAAATTTTAGAGGTCAATAATCAAATTATTCAGATAAAATAAATAAACAACAATGGCAATGGCAATGGCAATGGCAATGCAATATATTATCTCACCTCTTCTGCAATGCTTTGCCGAATCTTGCGTTGAACAGATGCCTTGACTTGGTTTTGTGCTGACACATCCTCAGATGAAAACCTATAAAAGAAGAAAATATGCACTTATAACATGAATGAACCGTTATTCAATTACATCATTGGAATTTTGAACACCATAATTGATTCAATCATTTTTATTCTTAAACCCTAATTAGAAAACCTTTAATATGTGCAATTTTATAAAAATTTCTTTCTTTGATTCACAGGTAAACCAATTCTATTCCTACTTCTGCTCAAGTATGAATCATATATTGATATGCTATTTCTATTTCAGCTTACTTTAGTTGAAACAATAAACCCAGCTTTAATTGAAAATGGAACTAGGGCACAGTCTTTTTAAATTCTATTTCAATCACCAATTGCATGAAACTACCTCTGTTCAACCAAATGCAGTCTATGGGAAACAAGAACTGAAAATACACATAGAAGAAAAGATACCCCGGAAAGTCATATACTTATAGGTGCTAGACAAATAAAACGTGGTCAAGATTCCAAGCACAATATTTCCGTTATTTTCCTTGTTTTCAACAATATAATAGCTTGTTATGAATAGCTAAAAGAGTTTTACGAATAAGTACATACAATCTAAGTATAATTTGTCACTAATGCTTCTAGCGTCATCTAGGATGTGCTTATTACCAACTAAGAAACCATAACAGATGAAGTCAACTCACTATAGTTGAGTCGGTTATGTACTTTCCCCTTTATCATGAGGCTTAGGCTTCAAACCTTAAGATGCCCCATAGAGTTGGGGCCAGCCAAAAAAAAAAGAACTATGGAAGATGAAGAAACTGTCAATGTGGACATAGATATATTTTGCATACAGTATGGTGTTACTGGGTTCATTTATAAAGCAGCTTTTCATTCTCCACAGCTCCCAGTAACTCCAACTATGGGTCTTTTGCTACATATAACAAGGTCATATTGGCAACCACATGAGTCGGTCTATTCATTGCAATTACGTAAGCTATGTCTCTCCCAAAGAATGAATCAACTTAACATCACCATTGCAAAGAAAGAAAGACTTTTTACAAACATTTTTGCCCATCTCTCTATTTAAGAAAATTCATATAAAACAATTGCCATAAGCACCAATAAACCAACCAATCCAAAACTAACATGCCATTAATCTTTCCCAAACGTAAAGATGGTCCTAAAAGCTTGAAAGTTAAAAAGTACTCTGCCAGAAATACC